TAAAAATAAATTATTAGTAATATTATTTTTTTTCTTTTTGAAAATTCTATTATTTAGGTGATTATGTTATACCTCTTTATATTCCTCAATGTTATAAATGTGAGTATTGTTTAAATCAAAAAACAAATTTATGTCAAGCTGTTAGGTATGTTGGTTTTTTTTGTTATTAAATTTCCATAATATAATAAAGAAAATATTTTTAGAGCAACACAAGGACAAGGTTTAATGCCGGATAAAACTGTACGATATAAATGTCAAGGAAAAGATGTTTATCATTTTATGGGTTGTTCATCATTTAGCGAATATTCAGTTGTATGTAGAACAATACTTTTATTTTTTAATATAGACGATGAAGTTCAATTTTTAGGTCTTAGAAATTTCATTATGTAAAATTGATAAAGATGCACCATTAGAAAAAGTATGTTTACTTGGTTGTGGTGTTTCAACAGGCTATGGTAAGTACAATATAGCGCAGAAGTTATACGGCACTCTTTGTCTTTAAATAAATCTTCATACGAGTAAGACAGAGAGCTGCGACTTTGACCCTTCGATAGAGGTTTTGTGAATACATAGTTTCATATACGATTAAAAAGTGTCAATCAACGATGGAGTTGTCAGTCAATAGATTTCAGAAAAATACTGACTGATAAATCAGTTAACAACCGACAGTGTTGAATCATAGATGAAACTATGTATTAACAAAGACACTTTCAAGCAGTGTAAATCACAGGTGTCTCTCTTGTTTCTATCAAAAGCTATTCACAAGCAAAGTGTGCTGAATGACTTTGAGAATAACTTGTTTATAAAAGAATGGAATTGATTATAGTATTTATGCAATTTTTTTTTGTGCATTAGGTGCTGTTCTTAATACAGCAAAAGTTGAAAAAGGATCACGTGTTGCTGTTTTTGGTTTAGGTGCTGTTGGTTTAGCTGTAATTATGGTAAGTATTTGAAGAAATAAAAAGATATTTATTTCTTTTGTAATGATAAATTTAGGGTGCTAAACACGTTGGCGCTTCACAAATTGTTGCTATTGATACAAATCCAGAAAAATTCGAATTAGGTTAATAAAGTGTAATAAATTATTAAATATTTAAATATATATTTTAGCTCGTCACTTCGGTGCTACGGATGTTGTTAATCCAAAAGACATAAAAGATCCAGTACGAAAATAGAGAAAAATATTATTTTCTTCAAATAATTGATTTCTATTTTAGTTACAACAATATCTTGTTGAAAAATTTGATGCTGGATTTGATTATACATTTGAATGTGTTGGTAATGTTGAAGTTATGGTAATTGATTAAATAAAATTCTTCTTTTGATTTTGTTTTCTTTATCGTGAATAATTTATTCTTTTTCTTTTATTTAAGCGAGCTGCTCTTGAATGTGCTCATAAAGGTAAAAAAAAAATTAGTTGTTCTTTATCTAGTTAAATTTGTACTTCATTAGGTTGGGGTGTTAGTGTTATTGTTGGTGTTGCTGCTAGTGGTCAAGAAATAAAAACTCGACCATTTCAACTTGTTACTGGTCGAACATGGAAAGGAACTGCTTTTGGTGGTAAGAACTTTGAGATTTACTTTTCTAAAGTTTTTATGAAACACAGTTTAAAAGAAATGTTGAAGTATAGTGGTAAACGTTTGAATACACAGACGTTGTTGATATACGATCAAAGACCGTATATTAATAACATCTTATCGCAATACATGAACTACTTCCTTATGGTATTTCTGGAGTATAAGTCTTAGGTGTGGGTGTGAACGAATAGAAAATCGATACCAACGCTCACACGAAACCATCCCCGATATCATTCGTTCTATCTCAGAATACAGTGTCATTTTTCAAAATATGCAAATCCTCTTAAACAATGAGTTCGAGAGATCTAGTTCTGAAAACGTTTTATACGGATAACTTTTGATACTCTATTCAATTGTTAAATCGAAATTCCTAAAGAACGCTCATAAAGAATCAAACAGATAGAGTCGACTTTTTAGCCTGTTCTGTTGCAATAGTGCATGAATCGAATGAAAACTAAATATAAATTCCAATACTGCTTGACGAAAATTAAAAGACTAGCATACTTAAAAGCGGCAAGAGTTGCATGGAAGCAGCCTATAAATATTTGTATCTTGCCTTTTTTATATTTATTTGATGTATAAAAAAATCGCAAAACGTTGCAGTTTGATAGTTGAATACAAAAAAACTGAATTTTGCAAAATTTTGATTCATAATAGATAGGGTTGCCAAGTGGCAAGATCTATATTTTTAATAGCCAGGATTTATTGAATAGTGTTTCTTAGTAATACAATAGGTCTAAGAAAGAAAATAAACTACTCATTACCTCTGATATTGAATGTTGAGATGCACGGAAAGATTGACTTTATGATTCAAATGCTGCTCCTTTGCGACATTGCGGGTGAATCTAGCTATTTTCTCAGTGAAAGATTTTTTTCGTATGAATTTGTGGTGAAAAAATGCGTTTCAAAAAAAAATAGAATAAAACAAACTCCCTGTAATTAGCTACATCGTGCTTTATATTTGAATATCATAGAGATTGTGTCTACAAATTTTTTTTTTGTATTAAATTTAAGGTTGGAAAAGTCGTGATAGTGTACCAAAATTGGTTCAAGAAACAAAAGATGGTACAATGGACCTTGATTCATTTATTTCTCATAAAATGCCATTCGAACAGATCAATGAGGCATTTGATTTATTACATGCTGGAAAATGGTAATTCAAAAAACAAAGACACAAGAATAAATAAATTCCTATTAATTTTATTTTATTTTTTAGTATCCGTATTGTTCTTCAAATGACATCCAATGAAAAACAACATTAATGATTGATTAAATTTCGCTCTTTATTTCTATGAAAAACTATTCGTTTTTTTTTCTTTGTTCTTGCGATTTTTATTTAGTGCTTTATGATTTGGGTCACGTAATTTAGTCTTTCATTTTTAGATAAATATTTTCTTGATTATTTGAAAAATTGCTTTATTATGAGCGGTAAATTATAATGAAATATTTTATGTAAATCATATTTAAAAAGGAAATATTTTTGTTTTAGGTAAAGCAAATCCACCAGAATTAAAAAAATTTATGGATAAAAAATGTCAATTAAAATTAAATGGAAATCGTACAGTCATTGGTGTTTTACGTGGTTTTGATCCATTTATGAATTTGGTTATTGATGAAGCTTATGAAGCTGTTAAAACTGGTGAAAAACGTCCTATTGGAATGGTTGTTGCACGAGGAAATAGTGTTTTAATGATTGAAGCACTTGAACGACTTGGTTAAAGAAACATCAATTATCTTTTGCTTGTTATTATTGTTGTTCATTATAAACAAAAAAGATTAGATCGTTGTTTTTTTTTTGTACTTTGTTGTAACTTACATATAAAAAATGAAAAAGTACTTTACAAAATCTTCGTAATATTCGAATGTATAATTAGATTATTGTTTCAATTATACCTCTCGTTATCATGGAAGACCTGAGGTATTCTATTGTGGATTAACGTTTACGCTGACTGCGAAGTTTTAGATATACAAATCAATGAAGTAACGACCACTCGATAGAAAACAAGCTATAAATACAAATGTTATCGTATAGGAATAATGAAGAATTTCTCATTTAAAGAAAGAGCTAGGGAAGACAAAAAGGAAATTTATCTCTAAATATGATATCAATTTTATGTACATCTTTTTCTGTGGTTGAGGATTGGATGGGTTTTCATATATACAATCGAAAACTTATATCTAATTAAGATTCTGTGCCGTTTGCTAATGCTATTTCAAGCATTTTTTTCCAAGTTTTAACAACATTTATGATTCATTATTTTTCTTTGGAAATTGAACATTGGATAAATAACATTTCTAAAACATTATGCAAAACTCTTATTATTAATATATGTATCAAAAGTTTTTATGACACATTTTGTAATAATAAAAGATCTTTTTGTTTCCAATTATATCGCAATAAATGTATTGCTAAATTGACTGTTTAGTATTAGTATTAGCATTAATATCATCATCTATTGCTTTTATGTATTATTCATCATTACTGATTAAATATGATTCAAATGAGTGCATTTCTATTAAAAAAATGTTTTCATATCAATTATGATCAAACGTTTTTATATCATTCTGATGAAAGCTTTGATACTTCCTTGAAATACAAAATGCAATGGTTTAGGTACTGGTTGACACCACAAAAAAATCGAAAAAAATTATTATAAAAAGAAGTAAAATTGACATATTTCATATCATTATACTTTATGACAAAGAAGAACTCAAGGCTTAATGTTTTGTTTATATGCAGATATACGCCAAATAACCCATGTTGTAAACATTCTGGAACACTCAGTATTTTCATGTATATGCTTAATGTAGCAGAATATATGATATATTTGGATAGATGACTTTAAATTATGCGTAGATACCGAATACAAAGACTGCAGGAATTCTCGATGCTTCCGAATAAAACTATTTCAAGTACTTCTTTTCTACTTCCGATGTGTAGCATATCTGAAAGATATGAATATAGAGAGCTCACACCCACATTGTCAACTACCCGAACATACTATACGTACTTCATTGAGTCATCATATTGAGTGCATTTTTATTTAGAAATAAGAAAAGAGTCATACACGATAATAATTAGCAATGCAATATTCTTACGCCATCTTTTACTAGTAAAAAAGTTTCGATAAAACTGCTTACTGGTTAAAAGTCATTAGTTGTTAGAAGAAATAAGCTTTGAAAAGAAAAAGTTACCTGTATTTGCAACTCTTTGGATAGAATTGAAAAACTAGGATGTATATGACTAATTTTCCTTTTTTATTTCTCCTTGAAGTATGATGAGCATGTCTCCTGTTTTTTTTTGTATTTGTCAATTTTCGATATTCTTTTTTCTTCTAGAATTTTAATATTATTTATTCATTTTCTTTTTCTTTTACTTGTCAAAATAGTCAAATAATACGTCTCTCTGTATCAAACGATATCATGTTAGGATGGGGTGTCAATTCTCATGGTCAACTTGGTTTAGGCCCTTCTTCAACAGCTAGTTTTGTCTCTACACCTCAACGTATACCACTTTTTAATGATTACACATGTATACAAGTTGCATGTTCACTAACACATTCCTTGTTTTTACTTCGTGATGGTACTGTTTATTCTGCTGGAAATAACGAATATTCACAGTTGGGCAGAGAAGGACGGACAACTATACCAGGCAAATATTTAATAAAAATTCAATCAGAATTTCCTTTTTTTTTAATGATGTTCTTTTCTTTTCTTTTTTCTTATTTAGAAAAAGTAATATTACCACCAAATGATGACGGTGTACAAGTAGCATGTGGACAATATTTTTCAATGTGCCTTACATTAAGTGGAAAAATTGTTCTTTGGGGTTCAATTAGTGGAAAAATCACAAATGATGATGGTCTTTTTTATAGTAAACCTGAGTATGTTTATTTTTTATATATTAAAATAATATCTATTATATTGAAAAAAATAGACAGTTGGGAGGATTTAATGATAGACGAGTGATACAAATTGCTGCCGGTTATAATCATTGTCTTGGACTAACTGATGTAAGTCAATTAATTTCTTTATTTTCTTCTTTTTTATTGAAAACTATTGATTCTATGCAGGATGGTACAGTGTATGCCGTAGGACTTAATGCCCATGGACAACTTGGATTAGGACATAATAAAGGTTGTAGAAGTGCTACACCAATTGCTTGTCTACGTGGTAGTCCAATTGTATATATTGCCTGTGGTGCTTATCATTCTGTTATTATATCTAAGAGCGGGTTTGCTAAATTAGAAGAAAAAAAAAGAAATTTATGTTTTATTGATTCTTTTTTGTTTGATTTATTCATATTTTTAGAACAGTATTTACATGTGGCCTTAATGCGTAAGTGTAAACATTTGTCGTTTTGTTTTCGTTTGAAAAATTAGAAAATAAAAATCTTCTATCTAGATCTGGTCAATTGGGTCTTAGTGATACTGATATTCGCGTATGGCCAAGTAATATAAAAGCATTACAACAACAAAAAGTGACATATGCTGCATGTGGAGAAAAACATTCAGTCGTTGTTACAGTTGACGGTGGAGTATTTTCATTTGGATCCGGTACTTATGGACAACTTGGACATAATTCAACAAATGATGAACTTTTACCAAGAAAAATTTCTGAATTAATGGGTTCAGAAGTAACACAGATAGCTTGTGGAAGGTATATAGCTCATATAATAGATAAAAACAAATGATTTAAAGTTTAATTAAAATTCTTAGAAAGAGAAATAAGAGTCTTACGGCATAATGGATATTCTTCCACAACCTAGGTGGACATATGTTTTTTTTCTGACTTAGAAAGACCAAATGAAAATTTCTATTACGACCTGAGCGATCGGGTTGATTTTTTTAACAATAAAAAAGACATGTTTACACTCCATATTCATCAAGACAAGGCTAGATAGAACTTTTTTAAAGTATTACTATTGGTTTTAACAAAAATAAACTTTACTTTTTTTACAGAGAGGATAAAAACATGTACGATGACGAAGAGTCAATTCATGAAGATAAAATGTAAATAATGAAAGAAAATTTTGACCGTTATATGTTGTTCGTTCGCTTACCTTATCTTTTTTCCTTTTTTGTTCTACTATAAATTTACAAAGTGTACCTGATATCAATTTCTTTTCTTCCTACTCTGTTGGTTATATTCGCATACTCTTTCTGATTAAATTTGTTTTCTGTGTTTTTCATCAGCTTTATTCTCATTTATTAATAGAGTTAAAGGATGAAAATCACAGGAGAAAAAAGATCTGAACGAATGACGCATTATGATTTAAAGTTCATTTAGTTGTACATATTTTGTCTCAGCTCGTTTTCTCGAACTGTAACAAAGAAATTCAATTCTTTCTTAGTAAACTGATTTTTGGGCTACTCTCTATAGCCTGAAAAAGACAAATACGAAAAACTTTTTTCAATGTAAAATCTCTGTATTTCCAGGGATGTGGTGACGAGAAAAAAGTACGAAAAGGGTGCAAGGAAATTTTTTGTAAACATGCGGATGTCCACTACGTGAACGCCACATTCTTGCTGAGTTCAAATATAAAGTTAGTCTTCAATAAAAGTATTTCTATGTTGAGAAATATAATATAAATGGAGGGATGTTTTGCAAAAGTTTCATCCAATTTGTAGTTGTGCGAATTCATTTTACTGGATGCATGTTTTCGTCCAAATATTTAGTTTATCAAAAGAATGATTATAATTCCAAACAAATAAGCAGAAAGTTATTTTATATGGATCGATTGGATGAAAGGTGCAACGTCAAATTATATATAATCTCCTCAGAAATGTTTTCTCCTTATATTTTTTATTCACACACAAAATAAAAGTGCTCCTAATTTTTACTATCAGAATTTTTCGATGAAGTTTACCGAATAATGCTGATTAGAGGAACAAAGGTTTTTAGGCTATAGGTCAAACTATATGTAGTCTTATTCAAGTCATCAAACAATACACTTGCAATTTTTTTCACCAAATGTCTGTCTAGATTCACACAGTATGTGAAGGATGAGAAAACTCTAAAAATATATTCGTCATGTTTGTTATGATTTTTATAAAACGTAAGGAGCACAGTTTTATTTTCATTTTCATTTTTGCGTTATTTGTGATTAGTTTTAGACAAGATATATTTCTGAGAAAATTACAGATTATCAAAATAGTAAAAAAAAAACCGAAAAAATAGTAGCGTAATCAAGAGTGGGTTGGGTCAGGTATTATCCTATCATCAAAAGATAAACGTAATAATTATAATCATCAACACAAATATATCATAAATTTCCGCCAAAATAGTATGGGACTGACCTACCCGCTATCTCCGCATTCTTCTAATTATGCAGTACGATAGAAAAGTACATTTTAATTTGTATACTTAATTTAGATCTCATACAGTTATCTTTCACCCTAATATTGGTCAAGTATCTGCGTTTGGTTTGGCTTGTGCTGGTGATCAAGATACTAAAATAACATCTTATATAACAGTACCACAAAAATTACCAATTCGATTTTTATCATATAACACTATGAAACAGGTTTAGTCGAATTAAAAAAATATTTGTTATCTTCAAAAATGCATTTTGTTTTTACAAAATTTTCAGCTTCAAAAACAAACATTAGATGATAATGGTTATTTGTCGTCACGAAATAAATCAAAACAAAATGATACACAAATCAATCAACAAAATATACAAGTAATAGGAATTTATGCTGGTGGTCATCAAACATTTATTCGAATTTCTCTTCAAGTAAGTTTTATAATTTAAATAAAGTTTTTGTTTGTTTTTAAATACAATTTTGTATTGTTTTTCCTAGGCACAACCTCCCGATGATTATCGAACTTATTCTAAAAATCGTCCAATTCTTGAATTAACACTTGATTTTGCAATATGGTTGCGTCATGCACCTGAATCTACAGAAACAATGAAAGAAGCTAAACGGTTTGCTTTATTGTTTTTTTTTGTTTCCTCAAAAAATTAAAAAAACAAATTCTTTTTTTGTTCTTTATTTAGAAAATTATCTCGCATGTTCAATTCAGAAGCATGTTTAAATGGTTCATTTTTACTATTACCAGATGCACATTATCGTACATCATCAAATAATCCAGGTATTGATATTGATAAAGTTATAGGTGTGATGGAAAAATTACGTTCATGTGATCCAACAATTCAAAATTTGGTTTGTTTTATTTTCTTTCGATTTAATATAACAATAAATTTCTTTTTTTTTTATATATTTCTAGTTGTTTGAACATATTCAATCAATACTTTTGTCATTACCTGAAACAGCTCCATGCTTTGAAGCATTACGTATTTATCTTATTTTACCATTTTGTCATATATTTGAAAATGAAGATATGCTCGAAACAATAACAGCACCATTTGCTCAAGCAACCACACGTCTAAAACAAAAAGCTGACGGTCGAGTTTTAGATTATTGGATTTTAAATGTTGGCAGAAATTTTGTTGACAGAATACTTGAAGTAAAAAATTATATTAAAAATTATTATTAAAGAATTATTTTTATTATTTTTTTATTAGTTATACAAGCCTCTTGTAATTAAAATTATTCGTATTAATCCTTCATCTTCAAAATTAGCTGCACAACAGTATCAAGTACTTTTAAAAGCTATTTTGGAATTACTTAAAAAAGTCCATAATGTAAGATTTGAATATCTTTTGATCGTTACAATTTTTCAGTAAAACATTATTTTTTAATAAGAAACTCTCGATTTGAATGAAAATTTCCATATTTTATATGACAAGTCACTCTACTGATTGCTCGCTATTGAATCAGAACTATGCACATGATGTAGAATTAAATGAATCTAGATTATTGTTCAGAAAAACTTTAAACCCTTAACTTATTGATGAGGAGATATCAGATTCAAGTCAATGCCATTGTCCTCATGAAAAACATTGAAAAAATTTATTTTCAAATTTCGATTTAAAACTTTGTACGAAGTCCATCTTTGATGAGAATAGATTATTGTGAACGTTTCAGATCTTTTCGTTGGTTCTATTGAAAGATAAGACTATGATAGAAGTTTGTCTTTTGCATTGCTCATATTCATTGACAGATTCGATCTTCTTATTGCAGGATAGAAGCAAATTAAACAACTAGAAATTTTCATGATAGACTATTTTCACACTGTAAAAAAAAAGTCGTAAAATAATCGGTTTTATGAAAAGAGTTTATAAAAGTTTGATAAGCAGTTTGTAAGAATAATAAATCTTCTTTGTAGGATTAATTATTCTGCGCCTTTTTTTTTACAGTGCATCAGGGTTTGTTTCTATGCAACGTTTCGACTCCGGCTTCGACAAAAAATACTCCTGATATTCTTCAAGAGATCATAGAATACTATTAAGAAATATCTTGAAATTGTGATATCTCCGCGGCAATAAGCTGAGAGCCCAAAGATGTTTTGTCAAGAGTATGCATAGTTCATTAGATTCTATGTCATGCACAGAGTCTCGACTAAAACGCGATTAATCAACTGGAGGATTTTCCTTGTTAGTCAAGTTTTGATAAACACGCATATCTTTTGATAAGTTATTACGTTCAGTAATGAACATAGCACTACTCTTATCATCAGCTTTACATTTCTTACTTCCATATTACATATTTATAGTAAAACCAATTCATATAAACATTAGAGAACAAATGAAAAACAATAACTATAGATCTTCAAATATAAATATAATCAATAATTTATGTTTATTATTGTACACAACAATCAACGTTGAATTTCCCAAAGGATATTTCTTGAACATCTTGTAGACTTGTTTCCTTTTGAAATAGGATATTGATAACCAATGATGTTTGTTGATATGATTTTATCTTTATTAAACAGTTATACATTATAAAAGAAACAACTTCTACGCAATAGAAAACTCTTTAATTCATAAACTTGTCAAAAAATTAGAACTTTAATTTGTATATTTATGTCAAACTATACCTAATTTTGAAGACTTTTAGCTGAAAAACTTAAAAGACTGAGTTCAACATCATTCGTCGGTTTTTCAAACCCTAAAAATGTCGTTAGTTTTCAAAAAACAGAAAATTCTTTAATTGATCCTCTGAAATACAATAGAAGACCCCTTGGGAAATTTGCATGCTTAAACATAATAGAAGAACCGATATCTTCTATTGCCAATGAGAGTTTACTCAATTCTAAAAAGAAACACGAAAGGTTAAATATTTTTTATTTTGTAATATAAATAGGTTTCATGCAATATGGCTAAACCTGAATTATTAGCTTATGATGCATTTTATATGAAAGAACTTAATGACTCAATTGATCTGAAAAAAGATTATAATTATTGGCGAGTGCGTCAACACATAGGAGTTAGTAAAATAAACGAACATATAACATTTAATAATAACAAATCTTCTTTTGTGTTTTTGTTTTTATTTTCAATTAGGATAGATCAATTATTTCATTCTGTGATTATTCATTTTTATTTGATCTCAAAGCAAAGATTCGTAAGTATAATTTAAAAAAAAAAAAAGAGAATTTTTCGTTTATAAATAATAATAATTTTTAGTATTACTTCAATATCATGGACAACTTGAAATGCAAGAAGCAATTCAAAATGCATTTTTACACAATTTTCAAACTATGTTCGGTGCACATGTAGATACAGTTAATCCTTTACTTGTATTACATATTAATCGGAAGACAATTGTTCAAGATACAGTCAATCAAGTAAAAATTTAAAAATCAAATTCAAATAAGAAAATAAAAATGAAATTTTAATTTTAGTTAGATAAACAAAAAGAAGAAGATTTTAAAAAACCATTACAAGTCTATTTTAATAATGAAGAAGGTCTTGATGCTGGTGGAATACGTAAAGAATTTTTTCTTTTATTAACTAAAGAAATATTAGATCCAAAATATGGAATGTTTAGTAAGACAAACGCTAAAAAAACTATGTAATTTAGTTTTATTATATTTTTTATTTATTAGTATTCTATGAAGAAACTAATACAATTTGGTTTAGTGAATATATGATTGAAGATATAGCATTATATAAATTAATAGGAGTAAGTATCAGTATCAATTAGGTTAACATATTTTCTAACTTTTATAGATTAATGGTTTTATTTTTAGTTGCAACTTATAATTTAAGCTGAGTGCAAGAGTGAAGAAATTCATATTTTTCTTCTTTGTCAATATAGGCTTTTGCATTATCTTCAGAACTGTTGAAATAAAAAGTTGTCTTATAGAAATCAGCTAACTAAAGTATAAAGTTTAGTAATAGAATAGATTATGATATTGAAACATGGATACACAGATTAACAATTACAAAATCGATGTCGTGTTAATTTGGTCGATTGACATGTTTTTCGTTTTTTTAACAAAAGAGCATTGTTGTATAGAGATTTAATAAAACAATAGAAACAAAAGTAACAGAATTAGTTCTATTGTTCGTGGAAGTTATTAAGCTAATGGTTACTTTATTGTTGCTCTTTCGTTGTCTCATAATATTTTTTTGTATCTATTATCTTTTCAAACAGAATTAAAAATCAACAATACTTTCTGTCAATGAAAATACTAGATGAGAAATCGATATAAATATTTTAAACGAACATTGTGTATAAACCGGAATTGAACTGCTAAAAGTGTTTTGAATACTTTTTTTTTCTAAATAGTAAAATTAAACATCAACTTATGTTTATGTACTTATCTTTCAAATTTAACCTTAAGAACTAAAGTTAATTTTGAAATTGCATAGATGATTAATAAGTCTTAGGATTTGTTTAAGAATTTTTTTTTTTTTGTAAAACAAAATTTATCTATTTTCAAAGATCATAAAATTTTCTTATCATCAAATCTATCGGATATCGGATTAAGTTGTTATTATTTCCAAGTACTTTAGAAAAATTTTATTAATTAATTACATGCTATTTATGTCTTTATACGCAACAGGATTAAAAGAAAATTTTTTCAGGGAACTTTACATAAGTTCATTATATTCAATTTGTTGATGAATATTGATATTTTGAAAAATAAACAAATAAAAATCTATTTGATCGATGGATTTAATTTATTTGATTATTTGATTTTTTTTTCTGTAGACACTTTGTGCATTAGCTATTTATAATTTAACAATAATTGATCTTCCATTTCCATTAGCTTTATATAAAAAATTATTAAAAAAAGGAAAAATAGATCTTGATGATATGAAATCATTATCTCCAGCAATCTATCGAAGTCTTACATCAGTATTAAATTATACTAATAATGATCTTGAAACAACTCTTTGTTTTGCATTTGTTATTGAACGTGAATTTTATGGTGAGAAACGTGAAATTGAATTAAAACCAGGTGGTGCATCTATAATGGTTAATCAAAATAATAAACAAGAATTTGTTGATTTATATATTGATTATATATTTAATAAATCATGTGAGACACAATTTCAAGCTTTTCAGCTGGTTTTCGTCGTGTTATTAATTCTAAACCATTAGAATTATTTTATCCCGATGAATTAATGTCATTTGTGGTATATGTTTATATTGATAAAAAAAAAAGAGATAAACTATTTCGATCGTTTATTTTTGTTTTTGTTTTTTTTTTAATTTAAGGTCGGTAATACTCATTATGATTGGAATGAATTTCAAAAGAAAACAGAATATAAAGGAGAATATCATGCTAATCATCCTGTAATGTAAGTCAACAACAAGAAAAATTATTGTTGTTGTTTTTCAAGAAAAAAATTTTTTTTTTCTTTTAGTCAATGGTTTTGGCAAGTTTTTCATAAAATGAGTGAAGCAGAAAAAAAGAAATTTCTTTGTAAGTACATTTCTTATTATAATAAATTTCATTTATCACATGTCACTAACATTCATTATAAAAAAAAAACGAGACAAATCTATTTCGATCTAGCGATTATTAATTGAGTTAGAATAATAAAAAAAAAAAGAAATTTGTGACAAATTCAATACAAATAACACATATTGATAGGTAACAGAACATCTTGAATAAATACTTCTCAATTGACAAATTAGTATTTTTTCTCGATAATTATGATTGCTTTTATTTGACAAGAACAAGTCAAGAGAAAGATGAACATCAATGAAGAAAAACAAAATTGCATTACGATTTACATTAATATTCATAGCGATTAATTCAAAAGCCAGAAATAGAAACTGAAAATTGTCATAATCAGAAACAAAGCAATGTATTTCTAATTCTTCTTATATATTCCACTAAATAACTTCTATGGTTTCATTATAAATCTCTTCGGTTTAAAAGTATAATAGTTCTACTTGACTCTAAGAATAGAAATACTAAACAAAAACAAAAAAAAAAAAAGAAAGGTTTCATAAAAAAAACGAATCATAAAATCTTTACAATTTAATAAGGTATCCTAAAGATTTTCTATTAACTCTAACATACTTATTATGAAATTTATAGATGGACAAGTTTTCTATGAAAATTTTTTGATTTAGTTTTCTATAGGCATTTATTAAACTTAAACTCTGATTTGATGTTCAAGACAAATAATTCACGTTCGAATTCCAATGCAGAAACTATCCAAACAGCTCTGATAGTATCGAATATTTAGATAATTACAGAAATATTTCTTTAACTATATAGATAATCATCAAAATATTCTAACGTTCGAGTATTTCTGAATAACATCAAGCTTTCTTTTTTTCTGTTATCTGTAAACTATTTATTTCATAATGAGTAAATATATCATAGTCAATTCTCAGGAATCTTTTCTTTTGACCTACTTCTATTTCTTTTTGATGAATTAACTAAAACAAAGCTGTAGTCAAGATCAATATTGAATGTTTGAGTGCGATGCATTCTTTTTATATGAAATCTTCTTTCCTCTAGGGAATAGTAGCGTCGAGAATAATCTTAATAAGATTAAAATATAAAATGTGTTTTTTCATAGAATAGATTCAAAGTCCAAACGTATTATCACATATATTTGTGTATTATAGATATGAATTTTCTATTTGAGAAGATAATAAAAATCTAGATTTTATTCTTATTTATTGTAAATTAGATATAAATATGATAGAATTCATATTATTATAGTACATATAGATAAGTCTTAAAGTAGATCAAAACAAGTTAACATAATTAAGCAGCAGGCAGAATAATGATTTATAGAGCAATTAATGTTCTCGTTTAATCTTAGCATAAAAATGTTGTATAATTAAAGAAAAGTGCTTCTGAAAGTTATTCTCAAGGTCAAAAATGTTGCTTCAAAGACTATACAATCTGCATATTTAAGACAATTATTATTAATTTAGATCAAGAAAAAAAAAGACTTGTCGTATGTACTTTAAGACAAACATTTGTTTTTCCTGCTTTAATGAGAAAAAATAGTTCTTTTTTTTTTTTTTGTTTTTTTACATATCTCTATATTTTTTTGTCTTTTAGTATTTCTTACCGGTTCTGATCGAGTACCTGTTTTTGGATGGAGTCAAACATTAGTAAATAAATAATTTAGATAGATTTAATATACTTTTACATATTTTTCTTTTTTAAGCCAATGACAATTCAACGAAGTCATACCGATGATATTCACCTACCTGTTAGTCATACATGTTTTAATGTTCTTGATTTACCAGCTTATTCATCAAAGGAAATTTTAAAAGCTAAATTACTGGAAGCCATTCAACATAATCAAGGTTTTAATCTTGTTTAGATGAAATAAGTCAAAATTGGTGATAAAAACAAAAGAAAACGTTTGTTTTTTTTTTCGATATCAACAAAAAAAGCTTTTTTTTTTTTAATGATAATTTCGTTCTGAAGTTTGTTTTTGAACAAATTTGTTCATGCGCGCTACATCAATTTTTTTTCTAATATTTGCAAATTGTATATAATAAATATTTTTTTTTCCGTCAAAAAAAATTAGTTTCGTAAAAAAAAAAAATAATATATAGAATTTATCGTTTGCATCGATTTAAATGTTCCGTTGTTGAAATATCACAATAGAATAGATCACCAGGATGCATGTGGTGGTGGTCGTGGTAATGGTGGTTGATAATTGAGATTCATTTGAGAACGAAATTGTTCCATTTGAACAGCATACCGTTGTGATGGTTTAAGAAATTGATACAAATTAGTCGCTTGATTGCGAGTCTAAATTGAAAAAAAAAAACAAGGCATAAAATCAATTAAAAGAGAATTCAATAAAATTAAATTGGTTTTACTTTTTCTTCTAAATATCCTCGTAAATGTTCAGTTTTACTATAAATTTCTGTATATTTTCGTTTTTTTTCAAAATACGACATCGTCGTTGGAAGAAGAAGAAGAAGAAAAAAGTAGCAACTGATGAAAATATGTACGATGTATTTTTCTTTAGACTTTTTTTTTATATGTTTACTCATTGTTGTTATTTTAAGTTTCTTTTCTCTTTTTTGATAAGATGAAGGAAGAAAAGAAAAGAAAAAGAATTCAATGGTTGGCATGCAACTAGTTTCAAACATCATAACATATCGACAGGATACTCTTCAAAAATATTTTTTGTGATTAGATTAATCAATTTACCTCGATACCAATCATCTTCATCTGTTTCATTAGCTTTACGATATTTATTCAATAATGGAACTTTAGCACTTGTTGTTGTTCCTGTTGTTATTGTTGTATGTGGTCTATTACCATTTGAGTTATTACTTGCTGCCGTAACAATACATCGAATAGGCGAAATATTTGTTGTAGTATTCGAAAATAAAGTACGTCGATGTAAATCTAAAAGACTTCGTCTTACAATCGATGGTATACGTTTCGGATCTAATAATGTTTGTGTTGTCATTGGTCGTTTGGAAGTTTCAACACGAATATGATAACTACTAGTACGTGGAATAGTTAGTGAGCCAGCTCGATTACTCATTCCACTTTTTCCTAATTCAAGTGTACTTGGTGAATTTAAATGTTGTGACATTGCTGACATACGTAATGTTGATGTTGATTTAACATGTAGACATGTTTCACTTGGAGAACGAACATAAATAGTTGCACGTGGTGATGCATCAATAGCTGGTTCGGATGTTGCACGAACAAAATTAATCGGTGGTGGAAGTGTTGATTGTACTGAATCGTTTGAATGACGATCACGTCGTGAAGATGGACTTATACTTGCTTTAGCATGTAATGAATAGTTAGGAAATATTGATGGAGGATTACATATTCTTTCAAGTTTTCTTGCTAAACTAATAATTGCTAATAACCATAAACCAATAACAATTAAAACAAGTAGACTTTCGGCAAAACTCATTCGATAAATACCTTCGTCCATATCTTCTAAATAAGAAGAATTTTCCAATAATTTACATCGGAATAAATTCCTTTAGGAAAACTATCGATCAAAACTTATTTATTTTTAATAATTTGTTTTTAATTATTTTGGAAAAAAGAAAATATATGAAAATTATTTTCAAAATTGGTATTTAAGTACATCTATCAGTATTATAGATGTTACACTTTTTATTTTCAAGAAAAAACACTTCACCAAGCAAATGAATATTAGTCATTGTCATTCTTATTCCTTTCGCTCAACTATAATTTTACTCAGGAAATTAAAGTATAGTCTAACTGGAAAAAAATAACAGAAATGATATATATATATAGAACTTAAAAAAGCGGAAGAAAACTACCATGAACCTTCTTTAAATAAGAAAAAAATTGCAATTTACAAAATTTTTAAAATAAAAAAGGAAGATTCTTGTTCCTTTACTTACAACTAAAAAAATACGTCCTGCTATTAGATTCTCACAACTGTAAACAAAAATTAATTTTAATAAGCGAATGGTAAAAAAATAGAATCTCATGAGAAATAAGTTAAATATAGGAAAAGAAAACAATTTAATAGGTTATATAAAATAAGAAATATACTATAATGAGATCGTTTTAATGAAAAAATCAAGAGTCTTCATTAATTCAAGTATTCATTAGATTTAATCAATCATTTTATTTCTGAAATGATGCGAAGATCATTGTATCTAAAGTATTTTATGCTTAATTATGTCTTTAAGAAAAGAAAAATCAACAAAAACAAGTTACTAAGATAATAAATTAATTTCTTATAAAACAACTTACGCGTTGAGTTGCTCGACATTGATTATTGTTTGGATTATTATTATTAGTAGTGGTAATATGAAGCAATATCTCGATGGATCCTGTCATATTATTCTAAAGATAGATTACAGAAAAAAAAAAACAAAAAAAAAAGAAAGAAGAAAAAGGAAACGAAACATAAATTAGATCGATCATTGAATATAAACATTTTTCTCTCGGCACGACTATCATGGATGGAACTTATCGTTGCTGACAGGGAACCCATCATCTTCACTTATTTCTCTGATATCCATTCTGGCGACATAGGAGGTTCGAAACTACACACGCAAAAAATCTGTTAGTCGCACAATACAAGATGTTCTTCGCTGGATTATAACGACAGTAAAAGGGAGAAAGAGAGAGTGCAAATGCCTGACGTCGATCCTCTACCAAACACGTCGCATCGTTCGATAGCAAGGGGAAAAAAGTCGGCTATCTGCATTATTTTCATGTTTTCCTAGTTTTTTTTTCTTTCTCTCTCTCCCTCATTCTATCTTTGTTCTTGTTATTACTTCATTGAGATTTATAGAAATAGAAAGCAAAAGAGAATATTGAGCATGTGTCATCTTAAGATAAAAAATACGAAGATTTTTTTTGTGCATGACATTGGAAAAAAATTATCTTAAAACATCAAAGTGATCAGATGGAATAAGTCGAGAATACTTATTATTGTTCGCTTGTTATTTGCAATTTGTAAAATAAAAAAAAAAAAACTTAACTATATGTATGTTAGTTTTTCTTTCGGATCCCAAGTGACATTTCTGGCATTATCGGTTTAAATAAACAATATCTTCTGTATGTATATGTTGATTTGCCAATTTGCTTTCACCGGTAACTAAAATGTTTTCAAGTGCACATTCTTCAAATTACGAGAGAATTTTGTTAGTCAAAAAAAAAACTTCTTATTGTGTAATATATAACCTTGAAATGACGAACAATGACAAGAGCTACTGTTTTAAATTAATTTACGAACGTTAATAACGACAACCAGCCTTTTTTTTATATGGCTTTTTTTTTCTTCATATAAAATTCTTTGTTTTCTTAAGCATGCAACATCAAAGCGATACTAATAAATGTCGTCTATATATGTTTCATTTCAGTTATTAAGAACCGATGCAGTCAATATATCAAAATGTTATGCTTGTTTTTCTAGCTGTCTCAAAGTATCCGTCAAACGAACAAATGACGATCATACTGCTACTTTGTTATTTCTATTTCATAGAAATTTATGCCAGACGGAAGTTATTATCGCATGATGTTGTTAACAATATTGCACACACAAACAATAATCCTCTTCTATTGACTGACTCAAATCATTTCCTCTGTTTGATTTGTTTCTTTTTTTTATTAGTCTTACCAGAATCTCAATTAGCACATTTTTCTTTCAGAAACCGAGCACAAATAAATGCATATAAGATTGAACATGACACTATTATCTCCGTATGCTTACACATAGTTATGTTATATGTTAATGTGATGGAACATGTTCATCAAGAAAAAGATAGCGAGAGTGCAGAAAAAAAAAGGATGACTACGATCGATTGAAAAGCTATTCGAATATGCTAGCAATAAATCGGAAGAAAATAATAGAGTAGCTCGATACGCGGCATAACTTTCTCTATTTAGCAATATAATAAAATTATCTTTATGTTATTTAGATCAAATGTTCATGACGACCTATTTTTATTTTATCTCTTGTTGTTCTTCTGCAAAACAAAACTACCATCTCGATAGGGACGCTTTGATTACTAAATATATAAAAAAAAATCTACGCTTTATAAGAGATAAAAGCATGAAATATTTAAAGCGAACATAATCATTTTAATGACAAAACAGTAAAAAGAAACTAATCTTATACAGGATTTAATATGGTTGAATAGGTTTTTGTTTTCATGCTGTAGATCAAGCAAAGAATACAAAAAAGAAATAAAGGGATGAAAAACAATTTTTCATCGACTATAAGTATACGATCTACAAATGGGAAACTCACCTTAGCCTGTCTTTCTGTACAATAGATATCATCTATAAAGTGTGTTACAAATGACTGCACAGGATAATGCAAGAGAGCCTCTACGCGTCTAGATTCAAACTAACCTATGAATAGTATACTACGACAAAAAATACGAAAACCATAAACATTTCGCATTTTATTGTTTACGACCGCGTTTCGCCATATACAATACAGATAAATACAATCCCAATATTGAGCGACGTAATACATCAGTATAGTATGATTAACAAGCATGTTTATTTAACTTCGAGTGCATTTATAAATGATTATCATTGTTATTGAATTATTCAAAGTCTCTATAGATTTTTTAATGTTCTATATATGAGGATGCGATGAATAATTATTAAGAATGAATCTGAACATAAAATTACATTAGTCGAATAATCTGATATTAATGTTGTCTTTTGCAATAGAAACAATACTAACATAACTAAAGGTCAACAATTATATCAATTAATATCTATAGAGAAAACGTTTTATTCGAAACCTGAAGAAGATATACAATAATATGAATGATTAATAATGAGAATGTTTTCAACTTTTCTAACTTAAAATATTTAAATTTCAAGCATGAAATC